GTCTAATATACATGCGCAGAACTTGCTGTAGGATCTTGTTCATCTGTTCTGTCTGACCATTAGTCTCTGGGTGACAGCCGGACGACATTAACAACTTAGATCCGTAGACTCTCATGAGTTCTTGCCAGTTCTGGCTGGTGAAACGACTATCTCTATCACTAACTATTGACAATGGGATTCCATTCTCACTAACCCAAAAGTCAAAGAACTTCTGTATTACTAAATCTGTACGTACCTCTGCAGGCAAGGGTCTGAGAAGACCTAGGGGCGCGCGTGTAGTAGATTTGTTTCGCTGGCATACTTTACAACTGCGGACATACTCTATGCAGTCGTTCTTCATCCCTGGCCATGTGTACGCACGCATCAGATTGGCTAACGTCTTTTGCCAACCAAAGTGTCCCTCAGTATCCTGACATTCCCCTAGAATTAGACTACGAATCTCTTCGCTATTGGGAACGCACAGGCGGTCAAACACATTAGTCTTCTCAAACAGCAACCCGTCTGTAGTGCGGTAATCTGGTTCGGTCTCTGGGGCCTCTCTAACTCTCTTTAGGAGGTCGCTATAGATAGGGTCCTGCGTATACGCTTGTTTCACTCTCCTGCAGGTCTCTCCCTGTATCCAGATAATGTCCTACGGCTCCAAAGTAGTCTGATCTCCTACTTAGAGCATCCGCCACTACATTGTACTTGCCCTTCACTGGCTTGAGCTCAAAGTCGAATTGGTCTATCTCTGCGGCCCACCTGGTCAACTTAGGTGTCATCTTGGCCTGGGTCTTTAGCCATCTAAGCGTTTCATGGTCCGAATAGACTTTGAAGTGCCTCCCAAGCAGGTAGTGCTTCCAATGGTCTAAAGCCTGCCTGAGGGCGCAGAGTTCTCTTCCGTACGTGGAGGTAGCGACTTTCTCACAAGGCATCCTCGCGGACATGAACTCTACGGGTCTATAGCCATTGCCGTCATCTTGTTGCAACACGGCGCCTATCCCATACTGACTCGCGTCCGTGGTGGCGACAAATGGCAAGGACGGGTCTGCAACCTTGAGGACAGGATACTCTATTAACGCGCGCTTTAACTTTTTGAGTGCAGACGTAGTCTTTATCCCATTGCCAGATTGTCTCTTTCTTCAACAACGTGCGCAAGGGAGCGGCGATAGTGGAGAAGTTCCTCACGAACTTCCTGTAGTAGTTAGCTAAGCCTAGGAACGACCGCAACTCTGTCAATGTGCAGGGCGTCGGCCAAAAAATCTCTGATCGCCGCGATCTTGCTGTCCTCTGGCTTAATGTCATCTCAGTCCAACACATGGCCCAAGTATAAGACTTGTGTCTTGGCCCACTCGCACTTCTTCACGTTGATCTTGAAGTTAGCCTCTCTAAGCTTCTCCAAGACCTGCCTCAGATGACCCTGGTGCTCCTGGAGGGTCTTACTAAAGACTAGGATATCATCTAAGTAGACTACTACAAATTTATCTAACCATGGTCTAAACAAGTCGTTCATACAACGCTGAAAAGTAGCTGGCGCGTTCGTCAGTCCAAAGGGCATCACTATAAACTCATAATGCCCATATCTAGTCTGGAATGCAGTCTTGTACTGGTCTATCCTGGGCAGCGGCTCAGCATTCTTCACTGTGATCGCGTTCAAACCCCTATAGTCTATACACATACGAAGCTCTCCTTCCTTCTTGGGGACAAACAAAACGGGTGCTCCAAAAGGAGACGAACTGGGCCTGATCCAACCTTTCTCAAGGAGTTCGTCTAACTACTTGCAAAGCTCCTACAACTCTCTAAGGGAACATCCTGTAGACTGCACCCTTAGGAGTTCTACTGCCAGGCTCTATCTCTATCCTGTGCTGAATGGGTCGCGACACTACTCCTGTCGGCGGCTCAGTCAAGTCTTTAAATTCTTCTAGCAGCTTGGCAATTGTTGGATATGTGGAGCTATCCTTTTCCAGGGCCTCAGTGACAGGTCTAACATAAACTACAAAGACCTGGTCTTCTAACTGCTCCTTTTTGACTAATCGCGTGAACGCGAGACAACAATGTGCCAAGTTGTTGTCTACACCCGACACGTGGAACAAGCGGGCAGTCTTAACTTCGCCTGCCGGACTAGGGAGCCTACACTCATGCTCTCTCAAATGAAGTGTGGCCCCTGTTGCCTCCCCCCAATCCATTCCCAACACTATATCAAAAGGAAGGTCATCTTGTACGAGGAGAGTTAGGGAATGGAGAACTTTCTCCACCTTCCCATCCTTCTCTAGGCGAAAGTACGCCTGGACTCCCTCTACGTAGTCCTCAACGCGCATTGTGCGGTTGTCTGCGAGCACACTGACTATGGGGTCTACTAGCTTTTGGACCTTTAGTCCTAGCCTCAGCTTCTTCAGCGCCCTACGGCTAATGTAACTACGGGTAGCCCCTGAGTCTATAAGGGCCCCTACTCTACTCCTGAACACCTCAACGTCTACCAAAATCAGTTTGTCCCTTCCTCTCTCTTTTCATTTTGGCCCAGGCTTGCATTCTCTCCTTCAACTCTTCTGCCACACCTGTGAGGGACATGCCTAAAGAGACGCTAACACAAGCAGTCTCTGGACAGCTACCTAGGCACGGGCCTGCAACCTCTGACATAGGCTCATGTGGGTTGGGAGTGTCCTGTTCGCGCGCGCTCACTTCTCCACATGGCCTGGAAGTAGGGGCAGTTGCGACCCCTACTGGCGGCTGCCTTTTGCCTGCTGAGCAGCCCAACGGGCCTGTCTATACTTTGGACAAAATTTAATTACGTGCACCGGGTCACCACAAAATACGCACTCACCCAGGTTCACGCGTTCCTGCCATAAGCGCTGGTCCAAGCCCAGATCTTCCCAGGGCCTGCCCTGTGGCAAGCCTGGGTGCCAACCCCCTTGAGGTGCCCTTCCACCTCCTCGTTGTGGGTACCGGTTACCCTGGCGATTTAACGGGGGACCTTGACCCCTACCTCCCGCTTGGCGGTTTCCCTGTCCACCAACCCACTGTGCGCCCGGTCCTTGGCCTCCCATGGCCTGGCCCCTCTGGCCTTGGCCTACTCCTCCCCCTTGCGGCCTCCCTCCAGCCGCGACAGCAGCGTAAGACCTCCCCTGCCCCACACTACTGCCATCATCTTCAAGGCCCCACTCAATCTGGTCATATGGGACCTCATCGGTACCACCTTCTTCTAATGTCAGGATCATGTGATCCTTGGCCTTTACTTGGCCTGAGATGGTATGGTTTTTCCACTTTTTCCCCTTCTCTAAGTCCTTGTGCCAGAAAGTGGTCACTGGCATAGACTTCGACTCATACAGGACAACTTCGCGACTCAATTGATCGTATGTGATCCCGTCCTGCTGAGATTTGTCAAAGAAATGCCCACGTAGGGCCTCTGGAATGGTACGATAAAACAATTGAACCAGCTGGGGCTCAGTGACCCCATGGTCCGGGACGGCTACCAAGTCGTCCATGGTACCCTTGAGTGCCTTGGCACTCCTCCACTGTCGTGAGTGGATCGTTTGAAGCTTGTCAGAGGCTCTTATGCCTCTAGTTGGGTCAGCGAAATGCTCCTTGAGGAGCCTGAGGAATTGGGAAAGAGGGGTGACTTTAGAATATGCAACCAGGTTGTTTTCACAACCGGCTGTACGCGCGAGAGACCTGGCGAAGCTAGCCGCTTCGTCCTTCAGGGCCTTGAAGGCCACGAGGACTTGCTCCTCCATCAGGATATGTTGTAAATAAATGTAACTATTGACATTGGCCTCCCAGTTGTAGAAGTTCTTGTCCTTCTTTCCCCCGTACGCGTCTGGGAACTTAAGTTTCACTGGGTCCTTACGGGGTCTGCCCTCTCCTTCTACAGCGGCTGCAGCTTTGGCACCCTGAATGGCGCCCTCACAAAACTTCCCTACATTGTCTCTCAACTGTTTGACTTCGCCCCCAATATGGGTGACGATTTCGCGTGCAAAATCCCTAAATCCAGCCCGCATGGCCCTCAAAGCTACATCCTGGCTCCAACTTGCCTGACGCTCCTCCATCCAGGCTTTGCTTAATACCTCTAGGTACCCCAGTACCTTGTCCCACTTGGCCTTGTCATCTGGCTGGGCCAGCACCTCCTGTCTGCACGCCTGCACCTTTGCCACCTCTGCGGTCATCTTGTTCACTTCCTCTCTCCTCTTTTTCTTCTCTCTCTTCATCCTCAGCTTCCATGCTAACTTTTGTTCCTCCTCCCTCCCTCTTCGTTCCATCGGGTCTGTCGTGGATGCTAGCTCAACGGCCAGCGCGGCCTTCTCATCCTTAGTCACATATGACTCCGCCTCCTCGTCTTCCCCCAACGATAAGTTAGCGACCCACTCGCTGATCTTCTTCTCCAGCTCAGGATTTGTCTCCCACTTCATCGTGCCACCACTACTTCCTTCTCCACTCTCAATCCTCATCCTCTCTCTTTCTCTTCTTCTGCTGCCGCTTCTGCTTCAGCAGCCTTCTTTCTTTCTTTCTCCTCCTGTTGTACCCTCTTCATCTCCTCCTCCAATCTCTTCATCTTCGCCGCCTGCTCGTCTGCGATAGCCTTTAGCTTGGCTTGCTTTTCACGCTCTTTCCTCTCCTTACTCTCTCTGACTAAGGCGGCCATCTGTTCTTGCTGCTCAGTGGTGTAGGGGCTAGTCTCCTTACCACTACGGGTCTCAACCATGGTGATAAGTGTACAACCGGGTTAGTGGTTCCAAACCTCACCACGTAGACGTCAACCCCTGACTGA